AAGCAGATGGGGAATTTGTCCTACTCTTTGAGATTCTTTACCAAACCCTCCCTGGACTACTGGGACAAGGAACGCCCTCCTCTCTCATCTCAGCTGTCATCTGGGTGAAACTGATCCTTTATTTGCAAAAGGCTGACTGATCTGAGATAGGTCAGTTAAATGTTCTGATACCACAGACAGCTTAATCCCTCTCACTTCTCCAGAGCTGTGTTGAATTTTTGTGTGCTAATGATAGCTTTCCATTAGGAAGTGCTCAGTCATGCTGCTCAGGATAAGAAACAAAGCTTTGTTGAGATCACATCTCTCTACCTGCATTTTTAAGGAATCTCTTTGATAGGGACCCTTTTATAGCCTCTCATGATTGGTCTCTGCTGACCTCACCATTCCAGCGCATGCCACTGGAGTCCCATCACACTTCATCCAGTCACCAGAACATTCCAGTGGGCAGGAGTCCACCACCATGCCTCCGTGCAGGCCGATGTCCTTTTCCACCTGTGTTGTCATTTCCCCCCCTACTGCCCCCTTCCTCCCAAATATCCATCTATCCCATCTCATGCTGCTTTCTCTGAAGTTAACGTTCTAACCACCATTGACGCAGATGGTGTTTAAATGATGTTCTGAAGGCTGGCTTGGGGAAACCAGCTACTCACCTTGATTTGGGGGTCATTTTTTCCCCTATCCAAAAAAAAAAATCACTTGAGATTTTAAATATCCGACTAAAATAAACACAACTAAACTACAGGAAAGATATTTTCCTGAGTGGAATGTTGGACTCTTAACAGCGCTGTTAAGAGTAAGCAAAATGGAAAGAAATAATTAGTCAGCACTGTGCCTCAGGAATACACTGGACAATCTAAAAAGGGCCTGCTCCAACCTTGAACTATTAGCAAACTGTTGTTCATCAATGTGCACATCCACAAATGATTTCTTAGGACTGCTGATCTTTGCTTCAGGAGTATGTTATCGGCAAGTTTTCACAAGGAATGATGCCCACAAGTATTTGCCTCTAAAGCAATGAAATACAAACTGTTGGAGAGCCGTCTATCCCATGAGAATTTCCCCAACAGCGTGTGCAGAGCAATGACTTGTGACCTGCTTAGAAGATGCTATCTTTTCAGAGTCTGTTGGCGTGTCTCAGAATCTCAAGTTGGTTTGGGAATTTCTTCGAGGAATAAATTATTTTCAGATGGTATTCGTTGTGACTCGGTCAGGAGATACTCTTTTCTAAGCAGAAAACTAAAATGCAGTGTTGAGTTATCCTTCCAAAATGATGAACAGAAATATTAGGCGTATCCTGTCATCGCTAAGTTGCCTTAAGTGTAGCTAAATTACCTCAAGTGTAAACATTTTATCTAATGCCAATAAGCCCTTTACTGTCATGACAAGGTAGAAACTCATGCATTATGAATTTGTGCATTATGAAACTCTAGAAGCTACGGTTGGAAAGCGTTCATTAGGCTTCCTGTGTCTTTGTTCTGTCCATGCCAGATTGCCAGCAGAGTGTTCAGTAGCCTTAAAGAGGCTCTGTGGAGGTGTTCTCTTCATAAGAGAGCCCTCAGTCCCGTGGATAAGCCAAGAGTCTGCCCCCTTTTAAAGGCCGTGGAGCATCTGCATTGCATTACTCTCCACTAAAGCCTCACGCTGTTTCTCTGATCTGATTGTGTGAAGAGTTGGCCCACCACATTCTCTCCTCCTTAGCCTGACTGGAAAGAAAGGGGTTCCCTTCTTAAATTAGACACTCTTATTTCAGAGTGTACTCTCTGTACTTATTCCAGCTTACTCCAGCTTCTCATGTTTCTTTCCTTTAATGCAATGGTTCTCCATCTGGGTGATTTTGCCTCCGCAGGACGTTTGGCAATGTCCAGACACACTTTTGGTTCTGACAACTAGGGGTAAGTGGTACTGGTGTCTAGTGGGCAGAGGCCAGGGATGTTGCAAACATCATATAATACACAGGACAGCCCCCACAGCAAAGAATTATCTGGAAAAATGTCAGTAGTGCCCAGAGTTAAGAAACTCCGGACTAGTGAAACACCCACCCTAAGTCAGAAGCAAAGGCCTGGTCTCATGGGGTCACTGCTGCTGCACAGATTTGTGCACTGTCTGTATTCCCTTATGTGCCACAGAATTTCTGTCATATGACTCTTGTTTTCTGTCCACCTTGATTGTCTCTGAGATAGTCCCTTCCCATTCAGTGTTGGTATTTCAAAGGAGTACCTCTTCATTATCTTTTCCCCTTGAAATTGTCTTTTATCCATTGGGGACTGTTTTTCTAACTCAATCAATGAATGACCAAGCTCTTATTTATTAAAGTTTAGTTTCTTACTGTGTGACCTTTTGCTCCTCTGCCCATTTTTCACTTGGGTTATTTGTCTTTTTATTGTTGAGCCGTAAGCATTCTTTATATATTCTGAATATGAGTCCCTTATCAGATAAATATTTGCAAATGTTCTCTCCATTCTCGGTTGCCCCTTCACTCTCTTGATGGGCTCATCTGTGAGGCACAGAAGTTTCTGATTTTGATAAAGTCTTATCTGTCTATTTTTTTGTGTGTGTGTCACTGCGCTTTGGTTGTCATGTCTAAGAAACCACTGCCAATACGAAGGCCATAAAAATGTACTCATGTTTCATCCTTAGAGTTTTACAGTTTCAGCTCTATGATCCATGTCAAGTGTATGATTCAGAGGCACCAATCACATTCAGAATGTCATGCAGCCATCACCATTATCTACTCCAAAACTTTTTCATCACTGAAATTAAAACTCTCTACACATTAAGCAGTAACTCCTTCTTCTCCCCCACCTTCCCAGTCCCTGGTGGAAACGGACTTATAACTAATTTAGATGTCAACAACTGCAGCCAACTAGTTTCTACTGTATTGGACACAGTTCTCTGCACCACCAGCATCATCCTCCCAGATGGGTTGTTACAATCATTTCCAAACAGGCCTTACATTTGTTATTATTCCATTGTTGGTCATCCAAGATCTGGTCTCCCATGAAATCTGGGCTGTTCCCTTAAGAGTGCAATCATACCATATCATTCTATCCTCAGAATCCTATACTGTTTCCTATCACTGTTGGCAAAGAAACCCTCACTCCTCACCACAGCCTGTGTTGACACACCCCTTCTGACTCTCTGACCACTCCCCGCATGGCTCCAGCCAAACCGATCTTTGTGGTAGCCTTTGGTCGTATCAACACTACCCGTATTGTGACTGTTGGTAATCGCTCACCTCTCTACCTGGCATGCTCTCCCCCTAGATACTCATTCACTTGTTCCCTCATACTGTGCACTTCTGCTCAAACATCACCTCCTCAAAAAAGGTTTTCCTGAACCCCCTGTCTAAGAGAGCTTCTCCTGTCTATATTCCATCACTTTACCTCCTATTTCTTCATTGCTCTTGTTACACCTGACATATTCTTGTGTGTGTTTCTCTCTCAGTGTGTTTGGCAGGGACCTTGTCTCCCAAGACACTGTAATAGCACCAGGCTTTTAAAGTGGACTTTAAATAAATACTTGTTATGTAAATAAAATAATAATGTTACCTCTTTCAAGGTTATAATCTATGTTAGGATCAAAGAAATGGTCTCCTGTCTAATTTCAAGTTGTTTCTTTATGGAGGCATGTCTTTAAAAGGGTTGCATTTATTATTAAAATCATCTCAGGGCCGGTTACTGAGAAGTAAATGCCCACAAGTTTGAAAGCCATTTGCTAATACTTCTTGAGGTTAATTTAAACTCTCCCTTACTTTCTGAACGTTTTCGCTTCTTCCCTTCTGATGACGTCCTGTAAGTTTGGAGTCTGTCTCCACTGCCTCTATCCTAAGCTTGAGATCATTCTTTTCTAAGTCAATAGCCATCTCCCTCTCTGTTCTCCAAGGATACCTTGTATGTTGCCCAGTAGCAATCCCTCCTTTAGGTCTGTATGTAATGCAGTCCAGGATGTCACTTTGTGGGTTCACCTTTCCTCCACGAATTTTCCTATCTAGGATCAAGAGAAAGGGCTCACCCTGCAGCTGGGCTCAGGGCCCCACATTACCAGATTCTCCCCATAATGCTGCTTGGTCATTAGTTTTAGAAAATAAAACGATTTTGATTCTTTAAAAAGAGTTGGATTCTTCAACAAGTAGATGGGTACATCAGTGAGCCCAAATCTGTGTATAGCAGCTCAGGGGTGGAAATATGAACACTAGTATCCTTATACATTCAGCCTGTAGGCCACCAGTCTGAACTGGAGTATAAAAGAGATTAAAAGGAGATTGGCAGTGTCATCCAAAAACCACTCCTGAAAACAGGCTTTGACCCGTCAGGATAAAAGCCAGACTTTTCACAGCAGGCTAGCTGGCACAAATTAGATACTTCTGTTAGAGTTCCGCCTTAGTGACTATTGCATGCATTGTAATAGTCATCCTTAAAAAAAAAAAAGTGGAAAAGATGTGAAAATTGAAGGTTCGAAATTCTAGTTGTATTTTCTAGATGCCTCTTACTGGAGTGTTTGAATGCCCACAATTGAGAGACTCCAGAAGTTCACGTAGCTGCACATGAGGACACGAGCAGTGAATATCCTGCAGAATTCTTTGAGTTCAGTAATTACGAACTGATTATGTGTATTCATGTAGCTATATTTTTTATTGGCCTATAGTTCCAATTTAGCAAAAATTTGAAATAAATAGTAGGCGAACACTTGGAAAAGGTCTGATAGGGGCATTAACAAAGATAGATTAATATATTCTTATTCTATTTTTTTAACCCGACAAAGGGAGATATTAAATTTTTTGGAAAAGGTAAATTTCAGTGTAGATCAAGTGTTTGGCTATTGGAAGCCTAATTTTGTTTATTTGTCATCAGAAAGAGGAGGCATTAGAATCACAGATGATGCAATTTTCTAAATTCCCTTACATTTTGATAAATGTTCCTAAACTTCTGTTTTTATGTTCTGAATAAAACAGATTGCAGTGGTCTGCTGTGGACGTTAATAGTAACTTCTTTGTTTTTCAGATACTGTGTTGGCCAATGGGCATGCCACAGACTATTTATTTGTTGGAAATATTGTTTACACAGTAAGTCTATCCCTCTGTCTGTTGAACCATTCCTAGGTGGCACATGTGTGGGTTCTGCCTCTCAAGACCCTTTACATAAGGGCTTCCTGATTTTTTATTTCAAGTCTTTAAACTATCTATTATAGACTCCTTAAAGCTCAGAATGGTTGTGAAATGCTTACCTCATTTTTCAGTGAAGATTTTGCAGAGTTAGGATTTCTGGACAGGTAATTAACAGCTTCTCCCATTCTTCGAATGACTGTTTCACATGTACCTATGAAAGAACACTGATGAGGGTGATTTCCCCCAAATCTTCCAAGCTAAGAAAAGGGCAAAAGTAACTATTATTTGTAAGAAGACAATCACTAAAAGAAGGACTTTTCTTAGAGCAAATCTGCCTGTATATTCCCTGCAACTAAGCCCTGGAAGATTAGCTACCAAGATGGTGCTTTGCAAGTACAGCTGCTTTGGGGGTACAGCTCTCAAGGGGAGACAACTCACTGGGGATAATATGTTGTTCCACATTTCTCATTCTTTTCACAGTATGTTGTTGTTACTGTTTGTCTGAAAGCCGGTTTGGAGACAACAGCTTGGACCAAAGTAAGTTTTCTCTAGAATTACTTCTCTATCCAACATAGGCATTTTTTACGGTATGATATCTTTTCAAGCCTTAGGAAGATGCCAAGCAATATCTAGCTGTCTTATTTTCAATTTTGCATGTAAAACTTGTGGTTTCATCTTTATCAGGGCAAATTTGCAATCCATAGTTTCCTGGTGATTCATTTGCTTGGCCCTTGAATACACCTGTAAGCTATTAACAGTCATCTCATTTCAAATATATATGCACAATATGAAAAAATACATGGAAAATACAGTAGGACAGAAAGGATTTTAATTTCCATAATTTTACCAAGAGAGATAAGTTATTGTTGATTAACCTTCCAGACTTTGTTCTGTGGATGTATTTTTTAATAATGCATTACGGAACATACAGTTTTATCATCTTTTTTCATTTAAAAATATATTTTGAACATTTTCCATGCCTTAAAATATACTTCCACAAAATCATTGTTCATGATTAAAGAATATTAAGTTTTATCGCTATCTCATCACTTATTTGATGAGACCCCAATTTTAGACATTTTGATTATTTCTAGCATTTGGGAATTATAACCAATGCATCATGTTTGTCACTGATGGTTAAATGGGAGAGGGTGGGAGATAAATGTGGGAGCAGGGAAGCCATTGGGGGGCATTGGCAATGAATGCAGGTCCAAGGTGATGGTGGCTTAGCCTGGGATGTTCGAGAAGGGGGCAGTGAGAAGTGGTCAGTTTCTGGAAGTATTTTGTTTTAAAGCTAGTAGAACTTAATAACAGATCCGATCATGGAGTGTGGAAGAAAGGAAGATGTCAAGGACCATCACATTAAGAGGACAAAAGGAGAAAAATCAGTACTTCAGTAGATGCTTAAAGCATTGGTTAAGATGTAACACCCATTCTAGCTTTTTTTAACGTTCTTTGGAAAATGGAAAGAGCAATCACAAAGTCTCAAAGTGATAACGTAAAAACATCTGGTTCATTTTGTCTGCTCAAACCTCCCTTACTAGATCAGTAAGACCTCGCTTCATACAGCTCCGGGCCAGTGCTCTGCTCCTGGTGAGCAATGGCGAGGGGCCCACTAAACCTGTGTGGTGGGTCTAGAGGAAGGCACTCACTTTGAGCGTCAGGGCAGCGCTGGCCACTAGTTGCCTGAGTTCATTGTTAAACCTGTTGAGACAAGAAAATGAGAAAGATCAAACTCTCCAGTTACTGGTGAGTCGTCCAAGTCTTTCTGTAAAGTAAAGGTAGCTGAAAACAGGGATTCCGAAACAGGTGGGTTCCCGTGGCTCTGCTGTGCCAGCACAGAAGCCCGTCTGAGTGGGTTTCCTTTTGCAGTTCAGTCACCTGGCTGTCTGGGGAAGCATGCTGATCTGGCTGCTGTTCTTCGGCATCTACTCAACCATCTGGCCCACCATTCCCATCGCTCCAGATATGAAAGGACAGGTCAGTGCTACTACTTGTGAATGGATGTTCCACATCTTGCAACAGTGATGCTTTTCTGTGTGTGGGCTTTTCGTGTCTCAAGACAGCAGTGAACTTCAGGAGAGGCTGGTGTTACCTGCTTCCATCAAAATTTATCAGGAGAGAAAAAACCCAAATCAAAGCACCTGAAAGAGGTTGTCCAGTCCATAGAGATAGCATCTGAAATTTTAACTCTTGTGGAAATTATCAACTTGAATCCTCTGACCTACCCAGCATGTCTGCATTTCCATGATGAATTGTGTGTTAATTACGTACAGTTCTGATATGTACAATTCATGGCCCTGGGAAAACAGGAGATGTTTTGAGTCGTTCAGAATCCCAGTGATTACACTGATGGTAGTTTTGATGTTAAGTGTATTGGTATACTCGGATGAGTTGATAATAAGTCAACTGTGAAAGATAAATCTAACAATTCTGTTAATCAGAATATCTCATTGTTCATCTCTTGACCTAGAAAAGGTAAGATTGAAGACCTTTATAACTCAATTTGAATTTTTTCCATGTTTTCTTTTCTTTTGTATTATCTTTGTCCAATGTTTGAGATTGAGGTACTTCCACAATGTCAGTGTGGACCTGACAACCCCACAGTATCGGGTCTGGAGAGGAGCTGGACAATCCTGGGTTACAAACCTCCTCAATTTACAAATGAAGCTGTGCAGGCCCAGGCCCTCCAGGCCCACCCCATGGACCCAGGCAGAGGCTGCCCCAGGCCATGTGCTTTCGAGACCTCTGTGCCCGCTCTGGTCCTCCTCACAGGGTGAGAAGCCTGTAGTGCACAGAGCCAGCACCCATGCCTCTAGTCCATTCCTCAGGTTCCTAGGTCCCTGAGTTTGCTTCCCAAACAGCCAAAAGCCCACTTCCCAGGCCTGCCTGGTCCTCTGCCCAGATCCAGGCCATTGGCAGCACGCCTGGGCCCAAAGGGCATCTATTTGCAAGAGATGCGCCCTGGGTCGGTTGGATTGTTTGCACTGGTGTATTCACCCACATTTGCCTGGGGAAGCTCGTACTGGGGGACAGGACCACGAATGGAAAGAGAAGGGCTGCGGGTGGGGGGCTTCCACTGGAGTTCCTGCCCCAGGGGATATATATTCTAGGGGCAGGCCTATGCATGGCACACCCGGCTGCTCTCTTTGCCTCACTTACTCTGTTGAAATGAGCCTGAACTCCTGGGTCTGTCAGAGTTGAGATACACACGTCCAGCAGCTGTTTCGTGTGAGGTACTCCAGAGGTGGCACCGCTCGCCTTTGCATGGTGAACCAGTGAGCTGCTGCGCCTAGGTGTCCGGGAGCGCCCTGGGCGCAGGTGCTGAGCAGGGCGGATGTGGCCTCTGGGAGTGGAGGTGTGTGTGTCCCCAGTACAGCTTTATTATCTGTGAGGAATGAGCCTAAACACACAACATACTTTTCAGTTCTTTCCAAATCCAAGTAATAGAGAAAATTACAGGCCTTTGAATGAATCAAGAAGATGGTTCTATCGCAAAATGAGCATTTCCCAGCAAAGCTACTGTGTACATTTAAAGAAATCAATTGTATTTTAAAGCAATGCGATTCGTCCACAAAACACAAACCAAGAAAATCATCACTTGGGAAAGCGTTGGTGACTAGAGTGTCATTTTCATGTTTTCTTCCTCCTGGTTAAGGGTGAGTGTGGTGGGATGAATATTTCATTCGGGGAATTTTATGGTGCAGGACATAAGAGGGACTGCAGCCAATTGCTGTAGACAGTTTCCCAAATTAGAGAAGAGTGACAGCTGATGGGATGGGACCAGGTGTGTGACTGGGCAGCAAAGCCCATCCCTTTGAAAGACTGCCCCTCCCTCGGCCCTCAACAGAGACACTGTAGCGAGTACCCTCTGTATACGTTCGCATCAGTAACTGCAGTTCCCATGTGCGTGAATTAGGCTGGTCACTGCCTCTCACGCTGATCAATAGGTTGACGTTCCAAGTGTGGGGGAATCACTAACACCCCACTTTTCTATTCTGAGTCACGTGCTGCTCTGTGTGGTTCAAAGGCTCAGCTCAATGGTGAAGTATCCATAGTTGAGGACTTCCTGAAGAAATTTAATGAGCTATTCCTGTCATTCAAAGGCAAGGAAATTGTTATATTAAATCATGTTTCCCTGGTATCAAAGCTTTTTATTTTTTATTAAACAATATGGATTTAACATATTTGTTGGTTGGCTTGTTTCCATGAGACAAATGATGTTGTTTTGAAATCGAGCATAGATGGCTGCGGTGAGGTTTTCCATAGACATTGAATGATATGATTAGTGTTGTTTCCATGTCACACGATTCCTAAGCGGGTCGCCCTCTGTGTTGGAAGTGCTGTTTGTCATCTCTCGTTGTTCTCCTGGCAGGGGGGCTCTTCATGGAGGCAGGGTGTCAGGAAAGAATGTCAGAGCCAACTTTAATACTTTTTTACCTGGTGTCTGCTACCCAATGGTTTGTTCACTTTTTGAAAAGTAGTAAAGTGGTATTAAAAAAAAATTTTTTTTTAACACTTTTGGAAAAATCACTGGGATGGATAGTGGCTAAATGAAGCCTGAAGTCTCAGAAAGGCTTTCTGCTGTCCCTGGGGGACTCGCATCCAGTCACAGAACCAGCTGGGCACAGGTGTAGGGACTCTGCCCATGCCATGCCCGCCCATCCCTTTGGTTCTAGGCCGCTGTCAAGGGCTGTATGTTTCTGTCCTCCTTCACCATCAGGTTGAAGAGCTAAGCCCCAGTGTGCTAGTCTTTGGAGGTGAGGCCTCTGGGAGCTGAAGAGGCCATCAATGGGATTAGTTCCCTTATAAGAAGAGGCCAGGGATCTGGTTTACTTATTGGCTGCCATGCAAGGACTCAGCAAGAAGCTAGACATCTGCAACCTGAAAGAGGGCCCTCACCAACCCAACAGTGCCACACACCCCGATTTCAGATGCCCAGCCTCCACGACTGTGAGAAACACATTTCTGTTGTTCATAAACAGCAACAGACTCACAGACACTGAGAAGTGGCTAGTGGTTACCAAGGGGGAGGGGTTGGGGCAGGGGGGAGGAGTGAAGGGATAAAGGGGCACAGTAATTCACAGTCACAATATAAATTGGCCACAGGGACAGTAGTACGGCACGGAGAACATAGTTGATGATTCTGTAACATCTTACTACGCTGATAGATAGTAACTGCATTAGAGGGGGTGAGGATTTCATAATATGCGTAACTGTTGAAACACTGTGTTGTATGTTTGAAACCAGCATACGATAGTATATCAACAATATTTTAATTTTAAAAAAATCTCTATTGTTCAGAAGCCACCCAGTCTGTGGTGTTTTGTTACAGCAGCACAAGCTGACTGAGACAGTTAATGAATGCTTAGGAGTGAGAGGTACAATGGGAAAAGACCACTTTATTATTATTGCTATTGTTGTTAATACTATTATTGTTATTATTTTAGGAGTATTTCTTGTGGTGAGTCTTATGACCCATTTTTTTGTGGTTCACCAAGCAGTAGGTTTTGGCAAACGAACATGGTTCTTTTGAGCTCTAGAAGTAAACTAGTGTCTAACAGCAAACGGCATTTCTCACCAGGAGCCACAGGCCGACTCCACACACAAGATGTCCTGTCTGTTCATAACATCTCAAACTGTTGAAAAGATGCCTTGTCTCTGCCGGGGTTTTCTAAGCTAATTTATTAAGTATTTCTTTGTCTTGTCCGTTACATCTGGCATTTATCTCCCAAGGGAGAAGGCAGGTTTTTCCCTTGAGGACAGAGGGAAGGGGACTGTGGAATGAGCATAATTCCCCCTGTCAAAGTGTCTTTATCTTTTCTGAAGCACCTCATGATGCAGTCCATGAGACCCAACCAGACAATGAGCCCAGACTTCCCAGTGGAAGCTTCTGAAATCAAGTCATCTATATACTTGCTCTCCTGAAAAATGCAACATTTCTGGGATTTTAAGTAGAAGCCCGTATTCCCGCTTTTCTAGGCCCAAGCTAGATCTAAAGTGAATTGAAAACTCAGGTGTATCTCCTCATTAATGCCAGAATTTCAGCTAGGGAAAATATGTTACGATGTTTTGCCTTAAGGGACCATGTGTGTTTTTTTCTCCCAGTAGCATAACTGTGGGTCATAAGCTTCTCCATAAAGGGTCCCTAAAGCCAGGGCCTGAAGGTAGAAAATTACAAACTTCCTTTAGCCCAAAATTGTCTGCTAAAGTAGAGCTTTGCATTAGAGAGATGGGGAAAACTTGATCTAAAACTGGATCAGGAAATGTGCTTCTATTTTCTTCATGTATTTCTCAAAGCTTTTTACTTTGAGGGTATCTGAGGAGATGCCTCTTATTTCACCTCTGTTTAAAAGCCAAGAGACCTGCCCCAGCTTGCTCTGTAACCTTTCGTAAATCACTTAACCTCTGCATTAATTTCCTTATCAGCAAAGTCAGAATCCTATATAATGAGATAACCTGTGGGAAATGTAAAACATGCCTGCTCCTCTTTTTCCTGGAGTGATAAATTACTTTTGAACTTTTATAAATTGGAATATTGTGACTTAAACTAATTATTTTGCCCAAAGAATTTTTTAACATTTTATGGATTCTAGATGTGATATTTCTCAGTCAGATCCATTGACCACCTGCTTCTGAACCATCTGGGTTGCTTATCAAGACGACAACCTCCCCCCTCTGAAAAAAAGGTATTTGCAATACACACATACACACACACAATCAGAATCTCTAGGTGTGGAGCCCCAGCCTCTGAATTTTAATAAATCCCCAGGCTACTCTTCCCTTTAAAGTTTGAGAAGCACTGCTGTAAAACACCTGAAGAATTACTCCATTACAGTGCTTAAGCCAGAGCTGTGCCTTATAGGAGAAAAGGTACGCTTCAGACGTCTACAAGGCATTCATGTCTCATGCTCAGTGGTTATGTAAGACATGGCAGGTAGGCCCAGTGACTGCTTTACTGCATCTAGCTTTCTAAATAG